TGCTGGTTTTTAGAGGCAGGAAGTAGAGTGAGGTTAGTTACTAACAGAGGGTAGACAGGGAGCCCTGGCATCAGAGTGGTCATGTTAGACCGTGAACCCCAAGGAGAAAACACCAGGCTCTCCTCGGGAGAAAGATGAGGCTTTCTACTCCCGTAAAGATTTATAGCTCTCAACCCCCTGGGGACAGTTCTACCCCGTCCTTAGGGTGACTATGTGTCAGAATCGGCTTGATGGCAGTGAGTTTGGGGGAGAGTAGACACTTCTTAGGTGACAGGGAACGCAGTATACACTAGGAGTGAGATCAGCAAAAACGGATGAAACGATGAAGGCAAAGTAAGGCCGTGGGAGGGGTGTCAGAGTTAAAGCAACAGAAGCAAATACTGTCATATACACAATCCTGCAATAACGGGGATCCAGGAGCAGGTGCATCGATGGACTTATCAGGTGAACTAGTGTGGGAAGGAGAATGGAACTGTACCCACAAATATATGTAGAGGTTCCGCCTATGCATTTATCCTGGTGGTGGAGTGGTTATGCCTTGGGCTGAGATACTCACGGTCGGCAGTTTGAAACCACCCGTAGCCCCGAAGGAGAAAGACTGGGCTTTCTACTCCCCTTAAGTTCCAGTCTCCGAAATCCACAGGAGTCTCTAGGAGTCAGCATTGACTCGATGGCAGTGAGGTTTGTTTTGCTTTGTTTTGGTATTTACATAAGCTGCAAATATCCACAAATACAGTAGAATATTCATGGGACAAAGTTCTGCTGAAGACTGCAAGTTGGTTTTGTTCTTTATAATTTTGAGTTTTGTTGCACCTGCTTTTCCCATCCTATCCAGGACCTTCTAGCACAGTGGTTCTCAACCTTCCTCATGCCGTGACCCTTTCATGCAGTTCCCCCTGTGGTGGTGACCCCAACCATAGAATGATTTTCGTTGCTACTTCATCACTGTCAATTTGCTCAGTTATGAATCAGGTGACCCCTGTGAAAGGGTCATTCGTCCCCCAAAGGGGTCTCGACCCACAGGTTGGGAACCGCTGTTCTCATGGGATCCCGTTCTGTTGGTAGCGGTAGCCAGGCACTATCTGATTCTTTTGGTCTTAAGGGCATGGGGACTGATGTTCATGGTCCATTAGTCTATTTGGACTAATTGTTGCCACGTGGCTTCAATTTTCATCACTCTTCTTTCTTCTGGGCACAGAGAGACCGAGAGAGGCTCCTCCAATGGCCATTCACAAGCTTTGGTGACCCAGTTGCTACTCATCAAAGTAGGGTGTAGAACATTGTCTTTGTGGACTGTGGTATTTCACTTGACCTTTGTGTCCTCTACGAGTTCAGTGTTGTTGTTGCTTAATCACATTATCCCGTTTCATTTTCTTTCTACCTCTTACTATTATCTAAATTGCTTTTTTGTTTGTTTTCTTTTTATTGTCAGTCTCCTACCCTTGACTAACGTGAGAGCCAGTGAGCGCGGAGATTTGTTCTATTCAGCCGTTGCTTTTATTCATTTACTGCTTGTCGTTCATCCCTGTCCTGAGAACACTGCTTGCCTATGATTAAGCCCTCAAGAACTATTTGTTGAGTGAATGCTGTGTTTGATGTTACCTTTAATCTTTTTAAAATAAAATCTTATGAGCTTTTTTTTTTTCTATTCTCATTTAAGAAATATATTCTCTTTGGGTAATTTCATTGCCCCTATGGCTTTTCTGCCTCTATCGGTGGTTATTGCTGACCCAGGTATTTGTTTCAGAGGAAATGAGCTGTATTTGCCCTTTTGTGTGTGTGTGTGTGTCTCATATTTGTTGTTTATGTAACTAACTTTAATCATTAAAGATACTCTTTATCTTTGAGGAAACGGAGCCAAAGAGACTTAATATTATAATACTCAGATACATTATAACGTTTTCTATGTGAAGGGGTTTATATGTAATGTACTCCAGATCCATCGTTTTACATGTTAATGAAACAATGCAGTCCAAGACAATGGCCGGCCAAAAGTACCACATTTAGTAAATGATACAATCCCAAGTTTCTAGAGCACATTTCTCTTCCTACATTATGGTGATCCACCTATCTCTACTCTACCTCTTATTGTGCTAATGTACGCTATATATAATTCTGTGGCTTTTATAATAGTAGTCACAGCGCTGTACACTTTTCACCACAATCAAATTTAGAACATGCTCATCATCACCAAAGAAAGCCCATACCTATTAACAGTTACTCTCATCTTCCCCAACCCCGACCCGTCTTCAGTGCTAGGAAACCACTAACCTACTCCTGTCTCCAAGGATCGGCCTGTCCTGCACATTTGATATAAAAGGAGTCATAGAAAGTCTGACCTTTGGCATTTGGCTTCCTTCACTTAGCATAATGTTTTTCAAGGTTCATCCGGGTGCTAGTATTTACCGGTTTGTTTTGTTTTGTTTAGCCAAGCCCCCTTCCCCTAACTGCCTTATTCCATGTATAACTTTGAGCATAAAATTCAACTCTATCTATCTATCCCCAGAACCAGAGGCAAAAAAATACTAAACAATCCGCAGACCCTTACTCAGCTTTAGTTGGTTAGAGAAGAGAGCACAAAGCACACATTTTGTCCGGAGCACAGGTCTTGTCTGTTCCCTCCATCCTAAAGGGCACCCTAGAGGTCACCCTCTGAAACCACCTATGGCTTGTACTTGCTTGTTCAGGGTGCTGCTCTTGCTCCCTTTTACACTCTCTCCAGCCTGCCTGGAGTTGGGCACTCTGAACAACGTTGGACTGCTTTGTGGTGGCCTCAATCATTCGTCTTTCTCTGAGTTTAAGGGTGAATTATTATTTTATCTTTAGCAATAGTTCAATTTGATTCCCATTCTTAATTCTCAAGGTCTTTCTTCTATTCTTAAAAAGATTTTCTTCTATTCTTAAAAAAAATGCATATCATTGTAAGGGTGGGTGAGTGCAGAGTGGAGACTCAAAGCCCATCGGTAGGCAACTGAACACCCCCTTACTGAAGGGTTGTGGGGAGGAGATGAGCCAATTAGGGTGCAGGGTAGCAACAATGAAACATATAACTTTCCTCTAATTCTTAAGTGCTTCCTCCCCCCACTATCATGATACCAATTCTTCTACCTTACAAATCTGGGTAGACCAGAGGATGTACACTGGTACAGATAGCAACTGGAAACACAGGGAATCCAGGACAGATGACTCCTTCAGGACCAGTGGTGAGAGGGGTAATGCCTGGAGGGTAAAGGGAATGTGGAGTAGAAAGGGGGAACCGATCACAAGAATCTAAGTATTGCCTCCTCCCTGGGGGATGGACAGCAGAGAAGAGGGCAGAGGGAGACGTTGGACAGTGTAACTTATGACAAAACTATAATAATTTATGAATTATGAAGGGTTCATGAGGGAGGATGGAGTGGGGATGGAGGGGGGAAATGAGCAACTGATATTAAGGGCTAAAGTAGAAGGCAAATGTTTTGAGAATGATGAGGGCAACAAATGTACATATGTGCTTGATGCAATTGATGTATGTATGGATTGTGATAAGAATTGTACGAGCCCCAAATAAAATAATTTTTAAAAAATCTTAAAGTCTTATTGAATTCAAACAAGTGTACAGTTTGTTTTTTGTTGTTGTTGTTGTCTTTACAATCATAAGATTAATGTAGAAATAAGTGAAAAGTTAATTCTGTGACAAATCTTACTTGGACTCACTTTCTGAACTTGTAAAATGACTCACCAGCGACCACCTTTTTTCTTTTTTCCATTCTTGACCACAATTTTTACTTCCGACCCAAATGTAGAGAAACCTTTTCATAGCCTCCTTTCTGAAAGTACGAAGCACTTTGCCAACCCTGATTTGAAAATAGGTTTCAAATCACATGAAACGTCCCTAGTAAGTGTGGGAGAGAAGGGACAGTGGGAAGGGGGACTAAGGTTGTTGACGTCTGCCGGTGAGTGGGAGGAAAGGAAAATCCTGGAGTTGTGGCCACGACCCCCTTGGTGCTAGTGTCATGTGCTCGTGCCTCACCTCTCAGTCCCTGCTCTGGGATGAGGCCAGGTGTGCAGTGTTCCTGCCGTCACGTCCAAACATGGGAAATTCCTATTCATGAGGTCACGCTTGCCCATTGGAAGATACTAGCCAGGGGACAAAGGATTCCCTTTGCACTCACCCCCCCCTTCCCATCTCTGTTTCTGCTCCCCAGTTTCTCACCCACGCCTCCGGGTGCTATTATCCAAATGAAATCTCTGTACCCTGGTGTTTTATTTGACTCGGCTTTCAGAGTACCCTCATACAACATCATCCCTAAGCGCTCGCAGGCAGATTGCTTTCCAAAGTACCGATGCCCTGATTTGGACGGTTTGGCCAATTCTCTTATCAGAGACTGGCCATTTTTATAACGTTAAAAGGATTGAATTGTGACCAGAGGAGTTGCCTCTTCTTAGAAGGCAAGCAGCTGTATTTGCTCCCTGTGTAGGATCTTTTACGCATGGATCAGGGACTTTCCTTTTTACATTTAATACAGTTGTTTTTAAAATGTAGTTGCCATGTGCATGCCCTGGTAATTATGAAACTCCTCTCCCAAGCCTTGTTCTCTGTGGTGATTTGTGAGCTCTGAGGCCCGGGCAGTGCACACAATCCACAGAGGCGCCGTGACAGGGTGTTTTTAAAAATTACATTTCAGGGTTAGTGTGAGAGCATGGTGTGGTGTCTCTGTTCCTCTGCAGGGTGTTGCAGTCAGCGGACGTCCTTGAGTCTGCCCTTGTTCTTGTCACACTGTTGCCTGCATGTATTTACGAAAACGCCATCCTTTCCCGTGAGCAGACTCGTGTGGATGTTAAGGCTTTTTGGTTTCTTGGTGCCAACTCACGGTATGGGGTGCACCATGATGAAAGAAGCATAAATCACGACCACCTGGGAGCAGGGAGTCCCAACACGTGTAAACGTGTTCTTCTCATTTGGTAAACGTGTTGAAAAAAAGTCTCAGGATCCCCTTCTGGTTTTGTCTTGTGAACAGGTGGTTAACACATACACCCCCGGAAAGAAGATTTGGCTTGAAGGTGTGGTGACCACCTCAGCTGGAGGCACAAACAACCTGTCTGATTCCTACGCCGCGGGCTTCCTGTGAGTGACCTGGCCGTTTACTCTGCGGGGCTCTGAGGAAGGGAAGATGGGGTCGTTATTCTGCCTTCATCCTTTCACGTGTGCATGTGTTTATCAATTCAACAGGTAGAAACTGGTACCTTCTCTAGACACTGCAATGTCAGGGCTAGGCATCCCAGCGAAGACGGAAGTGAGCGTTGTAGTAGTAACAATAACAACAGGAAGAAGAGCTTCATTGAATGTCTACAGTACACAACATAGTGGAAATAAGATAACAGCAGTCCGGGAAGTTTGGTGAGAATATGACAGGGCTTTTATGCACCGGAAATTTACAATTGGAGGGATTGGGATAGGATAACTACATTGTCAAGAAATAGGAGGCAAGTGCCATGATAATAATAATAATTTTATCTATGTGGTGCCTACCATGTGCCAATCACCATTTGAATGCCTAAATTGAGATATATGTGCATATGTATCTACCGATATAGATATGCATATATATATATATATATATATATATATATATACATCATATCACTTTTAATATATCTAGTGATGTATACTTATGCATATACAGGGTGGGCACTCCCGACACACCGGAATTTTTTTTTCAAGCTACCGTATATATTTGAGTATAAGCCGACCCGAATATCAGTGGAGGCACCTGATTTTACCACAAAAACTGCATTTAAAAATGTGCTGAAAAACTTGGCATATACACAAGTAGATACAGTATGTATTTGAATTTTTTACAAAACAGCCTTATCATCTTCAAAGTACTTTCCATTACACGTAATACATTTGTCAAATCTGGGATTCCATTCTTGAAAACATTTTTCAAACTCATCTGTTTGGATGGCTGACAGCATCTCCCTTGTTTTTCTCTTCACCTCTTCTACATCATCAAATTGCTGTTTTTAATGTCCCTCTTTATTCATGGAAACAAAAAGAAGTTGCACATAGTGAGATCAGGTGAGTAAGGTGTGTGGGGCAAGAGAGTCATGCTGTTTTTTGCCCCAAACTGGCACACTGAGATGGCTATCTGAGCAGGTAAATCAGGCCCTGTTTTGTGGCACACTGTTATACAGTCTTTTCAGAACCTCTCAGTGGAAAGCTTGATTAAGTCTGACCTGGTGGAATGGATTCCAAATGCACTAGGAGCTGGCATTTTTGTCTATTCGGGAAGTTGAGGGACAACCAAATTGAGGCTTGTCATCAATGGACATTTCACCTTTTTTTGAAATGAGAAAACCACGTGTACACTTGAGTTTTCCCCACAGTGCTGTCCTTGCAAGCTGCGTTCAACATCATAATAGTTTCTGTGTCGATTTTCCTCAGGAGGAAACAAAAGTTTGGCCCTGACAAAAAAATTAGGTTCGAGTGAAACTCCTTTCATGAAAAAATTCACTGGGACCAGAGAGAATCTTCCCAGGTGACACCACTGGGTGCACTAACTGAGAGCGAGTTGCTCTATGCTCGTCTAGCAGGAAACATGCATATCATGAAAGCTCTGCTTTGCCTAGAGCAATTCCGTCTGGGGGTGGGGGGTACCCTCTCATATACCCTTAGCCTAAAACTGTGTCTTCAGCACTTGGCAGTGTCTGGCACATAGTACTAGTCAATACTTTTGGAATGAAAAATAATGGCCTTTTTCTACCTCACTATCACAGGAGGACAATTAAGATCACCTCACTTCTAACTATTCTTCTCTAAAGAGCCATAGAGAGGCAGAGGTTCTGGTTGAAGTAATTTCTTAATAATGCTCCAGAACTTGCATGGGCCTTACAAAGCTGCTGAATTAATGAAAATACTAAAAGAAATAGCTTAGCCATGTCCTGGTAAAAGAGAATGCATGTTCTTCCCTCCCAACAGTTTCTTCAACAACTCTTTCTGTCAGAGTGAAATAAACCAGGTTTTCCAGTGACTGTGTATGTGTTGAGTATGGGAGAAAGATGAGGCTGCAGGCTCAGAAACGCACGGGAGCCGTTCTGCCCTGTCCTGTAAGGTTGCTGTGAGTCAGCATTGAGTCGACGGCAGTGTATTTTTAAATTTGGTTGAATAAATATGCCTTGAAAGCCACGTTGTAGAGGCCACAAGTAGGAATTTGATGTTATTTCTGTGAATGTGTACAGTCCCAGTGCTTTACACATGTCTTACATCATCACACAAGCATTGTCATATTTATCTTCAAAACTGAGAACAAGGCTTGGCAGTTGACAGCTCATTAATAAATGCTAGTGAGTTTGGCAACGAGTGTGGTTTCCCAGTTTTCAGTTGATGAAGAATGTTGGCGAATAAATGGGCTATCTTCACATATAAGAACACCAAGATAGGGTCTATATTAATAACAAGATATGCTAGATACAGAGACTCATAGTAGCGTGTGTGCACAATGGAGCAAGATATGGGATCACATGTCACTCGTTGTTTTGTTTCCTCGCTCATGCAGTAACATAAGGTGAGAAAGGTGAATGAGACATTCTGTTTATAGGTCCATGTTCGTTAGTGCAGAGGTTGCATGCTTGCCTACTAACTGACAGGATGGCCGTCCAAACCCGCCGGCCACTCCCCAGGACAGAGGTGAGGCAGTCGCCCCCATAAAGATTACAGCCGTGGAAACCCTGGGGACAGCTCTGTTCTGTCCCACGGGGTCACTCTGCGTTGAAAAGGAGACGAGCTTGACTTGGGTTGGTTGGTTAAATATAGAACCTCTATTTGTGCTCTTTCTACGTGGAAGGAACTCTGATGTGTAGGTGGTATCAGGCCAGAATTCCGGTGACTGTGCTGTGGACACACTTTGACTCGTCACCACAGACTGGGCCTCTCTGGCTAAAGGAAAAGCTAACCTGTTGTCCTTATCTCACCACGTTGCTAAATTAACGAGACAATGGAAGGAAATAGCTTAGCTATGTGGTACTCCAAAAGTCACATCAATTGTCTGGGTCACAAGGTCCCAAATTGAACCAAAAGGGAACATTTTAAAAACTTGACAGCATTCGTATCAGATTTCCCTCTTGCTTTAGAAATGTTGTTCTTGTGTTTTGCTCTGGTACCGGTCAAGCTCAAATTCATTACCATCGACCCATAACGACCCCCCTTTGGGTTTCTGAGACCGTAACTGTTTACATGAGTAGAAAGCCCAGTCTTTCTTCCGAGGAGCTGCTGCTGGTTTCAAACTGCTGACCATCTGGATCAGAGTCCAACTCATAACCACTATCCCACCAGGGCTCCTAGCTGTCAGTAAATATTAGTTGGATTGTTTTTATGAGAACAAAATATAATTATATATGTGTAAGAGATTTAAAAATATATAACAATAACGGTCCATGATATAAAAATTAGCACTCTCCTTATTCCAGTAAGGAAAAAATGTAATTCATCTGTAAATCACTGATTTGGCATTCTATATGGTTACAGATTTGGAAATCATAACTTTGTGTAATTCATTCCTACTGTGTTGAATGTTTGGTGATTCTCAGATTTCCCAGAATCTAATTTTATCCAGACCCATTTCAACTTAACAAATAACACTGCCCACGCAAAGAGTGCCGGGCATTGTGATGGATGTCTTGGGGACCAGGCTGGCATTGTGTCACAGTGGGGGTAGGCAGAGGATTGAGCAGCATGTGACATCACACAGTGGGGTAGAAGGGAAGCATGAACAAGCGAGTTTGGGGGAACGAAAGATAAGAAAGGTACCCACTGTTGAGTGGGGAGTTTAGGAAATGACAATGATACTTGATTTAGTGATTAATCGATGAAAAGACATTTGCCAAATGGAAAGAAATGGATTGTAGGAGGAGAAGATGAGGCTTCGATGCAGGAGGGAAAACATGCATAAAGGCACAGATGGAGATAAGGAAGTAGGGAATATTTGAGTAGCCAAGAATAGTTTCATGTAACTTTGCGCATGAAAGAAGAGGGAAAAGACGGCACAGATAAAACCACACATGAACTTGGGATAGCTGGAGAAATGCCTTCCCTGAAGACACTGTTGCTCCGAGAGATGTTTCTAATGCGTGTACTATCACAATCGGAATGTTCCTTACATCCTAGAAGTAGGACCCTCAATAGAGAGAGAAGAGCGAACGCATGAATAGATGTGTACGTACTGAAGGCAGAGTTCGCAGTGGGTGATGGGAGGACCAAGAAAGGAGCGTTTCTGAATAGCGTGCCTGGGAAAGTGGGTGCTTTGGGTAGTGAAAGCTCAAAGAAACAGACCCAATGTGTAAGCAGTGCATGCTCTCCATACGTAGACAGACCAGGAAGTTCACAAAGTTTGTGGAAAATGGAATTAAATGGTCATGAACATTTCCCACGAACTTTTTGAAGCCCCCTCATCTGTGTGGATGGTAGCATGCTTTCCTTTTTGCATACTCAGGATAGTGTGAAGGAGCATAATTATTATACTGCTGCTCACAATGCTCTATGAGGGACATAAATACCTGGAAAACTCTTGTAGGCCACGGGAGTCTGTGGGTTAGATCAGATGAAAGGTAGAGACAGTGGCAAGGTCCAAGCAGAGTTGTTGGACTGTGGTGGGTATGTCCCTGTAGTTGTGTATCTGTGACCATGGAAATGTTAGACTTCCAAGAAGCTAAAGGGTTCACTTTTTAGTATTAGGGGAATAAAAGATAAGCCGTTAGGAACAAGCTGTTCCATAACCATTTTTCTCTCAGAGACTTCATTTCTTTCCCTTTGAAATACCGAAGTTGGATTTGATAATCCCTGAAATCTCTTCCAGTTGTGATTTCAATGCTTAAAATCATCTTCCCTTTTAGGTTTTAGTTAAAGTAACGGGTAAATTTAATGGTAGGATTGGTGTGCAGGTATGCATGTCTTAACTGCTCTCTATAGAGCTTGCACTACGGCAGTTTTGCAATGTATTGATGTAACTCTCCCCTCCACCCCCCCAACTGTTTTTCAGATGGTTGAACACTTTAGGAATGCTGGCCAATCAGGGCATCGATGTTGTGATACGGCACTCATTTTTTGACCATGGATTCAATCACCTCGTGGACCAGAATTTTAACCCGTTACCAGTAAGTGAAAGATGAAGATTCCCAACCTTGCTTCATGTCATTCAGTACTTTCAATCATGCCTTCTTCCCACACTGGGAGAAGTTTCTTCTCTTTCTGTTACCAGCTAATTCCACAAGTCAGAGAGCAGCAGTCCTGTCTTCTAGTCCTCTGACCCATTTCACAAGCTTTTGGCTTTACCATGCACACACACACACACACACACATCTATATTATACAATGCTTCGCAAGGTGGGCGCTCCTGTCCCCTAGAAAGAGGGGAATGACCATGGAGGGGCTGCAAAAGCAAATACGTACACTTTCTCCTGGATTATAGGCTATGATAGAAAAAGTGTTAAATTGTCAGGGGAGTGCCGAGTATTTTTTCCCTCAAAAGGGCCTGGTAGTCTAACTTTGGGAACCTATGACACGCACACACACAGCATAGCTAGAGATTGACCCCAAAAGTCATGGGACAATTCCTTGATCGTTCCATTCCACTTTTTCCATGACCACTTTGAAGCCCATTGATTTCCATACCCATACGCATGTATATAGAATACATTTATATATAATGTAGTCATCTATTTACTTATTGGTTTTTTAAAGAAACCTTGCAGAGTTGAGCTGCCACTTCCACTTGTGGCCGGTGTGAACTCTGCTTGAGCGAGAATGTTTCCAGATAGTTTTGTTTTCATGCTGACAGGGGACATTGGTTAATGTCGCACGCTGCATGTTGAAAGCCGATGGGAGAGTCTCAGCCAAGATCAGCTACAGTAGGAGCCCAGCTCTCGGGCAGTAGTTGAAGCGCACTTAGAGCTAGATGCTGATCCCCATGTGACCAGGAGGCCTTTTGCCCAGAGCAACATCTCCTCCAGGCAAGTAAAGGCTAACCCGGAGTTGCAGACCAGAGATCTGGGCGAGTCTAGGGACTGAATTGGCTAACCAGGAAACTCTCACTTAGCCAGAGAAGCGGGATGTAGCAGATGAGCTAAAGAAAGCGTTAGCCTTCTTCACAGAAGGCCTGGGCAGACTCCTGTCACAGACTCCTGGAAGGCCGAGCTGGGGCTCCTCTTCTGGGTGGTTCAGTACTGCTTTGTTTCAGAGACGGTCTCACAAGTTGAGGTGTAGTGGGACTGGGGGGGGCAGGGGAGGTGGGTGGCGGGCCCTGGTGGAGACAACCCTAGAAGCTGATCCTCACTCTAGTTGAGTGTTGTTTCTTCCAGCACACTCCCTGCTACCCTGGGCTTTAGAGTAAGCACATAAAACCTGAATTGGAAATAAGTGTAAGATCCTGCCACACCCAGGATCTCACGGTAGACTGGACCGGAGAATGGTTTGACACTGGACAGCACCATTTCCACGCCTCAAAGGAATCCCTCCAGTTTAACACGCTAAATAACGACTGTGTCACGGAGTGTAAATGACTCCAATTAAATCACAATGTTTGCACTGGCTGCTAGAGCTGCTTTTCGTCATCGGGCAAGGATAACTCTCTCAAAGTGTGTGTGTGGGGGGGTATGTGGCAGGGAGTACGGATGAAGCCTATCGTTTGGAACCCAGGTTTTTTTCTGTTTGTTTTATTTTGGTTTGTGTGTGTTTCTTTTGGGCAACTTAAAACTTCTGGGGCCCAAACGAATCATTAGGACAGCCCCTAGAAAATGTCAGCAGTCAGCAACTAAAATGCCCTACAAGAGATGAAACATGTTCACATCAGGTTCTGAGCAGAAACTGGTTCTGCATGGGTGGCTGGAAAGGAAGAGAAAGGGAGAAAGAAATAAGGAGCAGAGTCACCAAGTCTCGCGGAAGGCTGCTTTGGAGTGAGCAGAGAGGGAAGCAAGGGACGTGGGAGCCCAGAGCCCACCACCTGACCTGGCCAGCAGGCAGATGTCACAGAAGCGCTTTCTGGAGAGGGCAAGGGGCGAGCAAAAGACCCCCGGGGCAGTAAGGAATGGAGCATGTTGAAGAAGCACAGGGCAACCAGAGTGGCGGGGCCTGGTGGAGAATCAGAGACAGGTTATTCACGAGGTAGGCAAAGGTCAGATAAATAGAGCTTTGCAAGATACAAGCAGATAGACTTTTATTCTAAATAGTGTGAACGCTATTGGGAGGTTTTAAGCAGACAAAGATATGACCTACATGATTTTCCAAAGATCACTCACTCGGGCATAATAAATGCATCAAATGGTATGGGTTTTTTTTAGCAGTTTAAATAATACTTAACAATTTTCAGATCACATGCACATGTGCTACATCCATAATGCTTTGAAACCTCTGCCTTTGTTTTCTTCTTTCTTAATTTTATTCCTTCTTGTATGCACTTAAAAATATCTTGATCATGACCTAGGCAGTGATCACTATTCCAGGCACTGGAGAATCTAGTGAGCCAAACAGACACGGTCCCTGAACACTTGAAGCATATCATCTACTGGCACATATAGTTGACATGGAAACTAAATAAGTTACACAAAATAATGTCAATTTTCATGATTTCTTGGATGAAAGTCTGGTGAGACAAATATGATTGTTGATACTAATTTTTTTCAGAAAACCAGCTAAGTTTCCACAAGGTCGTTAAGTGACTTTGCCAAGCTAACGCCAGTATCAAGAGCTAAACCTGTCGGCGTTTTCCAGTTCTCACACTGCCTTTGTTTCCACGTGCCACCTGCTCTCTTGAATTCCGTGCATGGGTTGCCTCCGTGTTGGGTGGAGATGACAACAGGAACCCTGGGGAACTGGAGAGAACACCGTCCAGGCTAGACAAAGATGGGCCTCGGGTGACTAGCAGCCTTGGTTTTCCGGGTTGGACAAACCTGCATTCTAACTCAACTCTGCGTACATTTCCCTGACTGTGAGTGGGCGAGGAAGTCTTCAAGAGATTGGTCTACCCAATGACATCCTTTCAAAGGATGGAGCAAGGGCTCTTGGCTCCTCCCTGACAGCAGCAGAGGTCACAAAGTGCAGAGGAAGCTGCATTAAGGCCCACTGCTTTAGCAACAAAAACTCCCAGGAGCTGGGCAGCAGTATTTGGGGAAACACCAAGCTCTAATAAAGAAACTGTATGGAAAAGCATTGGAAAAGGAAGCGGGGTTTCTTTTTTATCTTTCCTGGTGCTAATAAATTCTGCACCTTGTCAGTAGAGAATTTGGCAGCTGGGAGAATGTGTCCTAAAGTCTCCCCTAGACAGAATTGACAAGGCTAGGGCAGACCCCTAATCTGAGAGGCATTGCCATCAGGCCCCTGGAACATGTAACGGAGACAGATCTGTGAATCATATTAGTGGCCTCTTCAGAGGGTCCTGCAGCTGATAACTTAACACTGCCAGTATAAACTTGCGGGTTTTATGTGTGATTAAATCTTCAAGAGAGTTCTTTAAGAGTTTAGGGGCATAGAGAGTTGTGTTTTGGTGGCCATCCAGGAAAATCAGTATTTTCTACTCCAACTCCTTCAACCCAGCACAGTGCATTTTAGAAAAGATTTTATTAGCAAGCACCATTTTGGTTTTGTTAGTGCTTGGCGGATACATTCGGAATGAGTGAAAATATTGACCTCCTGACTTCTCAACCCGTATTACCCCCAGTCATATCTGATCTCGGTTTGTCTGATTTCAGCCGAGCCCAAAGAGAGGCCTATCCTAAGCTAAAGTAAGAGCGAACAGGCAGGCGGCCCTTGCCAAGAGAACTTCTCTTGAGAAAAGATCATCTTCAATTGTGTTCCATGTTTCTTCGTGGCTGTTTCTCTAGGAAAATGTCAGACCCTCCTCCAGTGTTGAGATTTCCCGTGTCCTGGGAAGAGCAGAACGCATAATTTGGCCATGCTCCACCGCTCAACTCCCACTCCTCCCCCTCGACCCCTTTGCCATTGGGAAAGTGGGAGCCCACGAGTCTCCACAGCCATCCAGTCAGTCATGGAATCCCTTGGGGCTAGAGGATGTTTGTGCACAGAGAGATCTGCTGATCCAGTGGACATAGCCCAGACGCCACCAGCTATGGGCATGTCTCCTAAGAGAGGGTTTTGGAATTTAGCTCGCTGCTTTTCTTTTAAGAGCTTGATTTATTGAGCTTTCAGGGAAAGGAATGGTAAGTGACGAGTCAACATCTTCCTAATTCCCACACCAGTCTTCCCGAGTCTAATGCAGTACAGGACTCAGACACCTCCAGTGTGTCTGGCCCGGTGCTGGGTATTTGGGGGATATGCAAATAAATAAGATAGGGGCTTCTAATCCAAAGAGCTAACAATGTCATTGTGTGTGTGTGTGTGTGTGTGTGTGTGTGTGTTTGGAGTATTACAGTTCAGTCCTCTATTTAAAATAGACTAAAATGAAAGACTATGTATCGCTTTGGATTACCAGTACCTTTTCTGTATTGAGGTAGCGGTGGGGGGTAGGTGTGCTCAGCATTCTTTTTTGTCCATGGTCCCGGCTGAATAATACCAAAAACTTCAGTTCAGTCCAGTGCATGCTTATTGGGCACCTGCTGTGTGTACATTGCTCGTCAACCACCTGCTGTGTGTGCATGCTTCCGGAAAGCAGTCAGTGGTCTCGGGGTGGAGTACAAATGCCTAGCCTATGGTAGGATGGAGTCTCTGGCTTTGGTTCCCATAGCAACCTTCTCTCAGCCAAACCATCGCTGTTAGGAGGACACACTGACTCCTGGTGGTACCTGCCTAGCTCAGTCGGTACCTGCCTAGCTCAGTGGTCCTAGGGATTCCACCTCGGTTTCCCTTTGAAGTGCTAGAGGCAGTGCCCTCTAGTCACCGTACTGCCACCATGGTGGAGCTTCAATCTGTCCCTTTCCAGAAGGAGGACATCCGATGATAGCTCGGATTCTCTTGCTGCTGGATTGATGGGCAATTTCTTCCCTCAAGAACTGCATTTAATTAGGAAACAGCACAAGGAGCAGCAGGAACCTGAGACAATAACAGGATTCATGGGTTCGGCCCCACCTAATAACGACAACTGCCTTAACAATGCCCTGACTTCGCAGCCCAGTTTCCTATCCACGTAAGCCATGATAAATGTGGC